TGCTCTGTGAAGCAACTGGAGTAAACTGGGATATAACCTGTGTATTGCAGGGGCTGGGCTAGGTGAATGTGCTGTATGCTAAACAAAGCAAAAAACCACTTGGGACCACATTTTATGCCCATAATCGTAGTCTGCATGTGCACAGTTGTGTTTTCAGCAGCTTCATTGCGGCTATATGCTTATTGATCTGTGGTGAGCTTCAGCAGGTGTTTTGGGGCTGTTAATAAGAAACTTCCCCAACAAGCTAGAGAAAATGGACAGAATTCATGAAAAAAGCAACTTATTACTTTGTCTTTTTAAGAAGCCTATACAGTTTTAATACTGCGACTTGTGACAGAGCCTGAAAGGGTTTTTCTGATCCTTATTCTGGCTTTGAATTACTAGTAACAAAGTTGAGGACTGCTAAGGACTAAATACTCCTGATGCAACTCATTGGTTTCAGTAGTAGTTCTTCCAGAAGCAGAGTAATCTTAACAAATTTTTACCAAATTTCCTGAAAGATAAGGTCCATGTAACCAGGACACGTTGCTAAGGCTGTTACTTTGGAGGGGTAAAAAAAAAAGACAAAACATGCTGAAGACTTCAAAGCTTAGTGCTTTAAAGAAAAGCTTTCCAAATTTGGAGTAATGTCATATATATTTTACAAAGACAATGATAGACTAGCAGGACTTTTTGACGACTGCCTGGAAGTTACTCTGCAGTCCCACCTATGATGTAAATTGTACTTTTTTTTTCTTAACACCATCCCCTCTCTGCCCCCGCCTCTTCCCCTGGTTGGTGTTGGAGCGTTCCTAATAAACATAGTGCTTCCATAACTTTATATTTTATTTTGCTGAATATGGATTTAATTAAAAATAAGATTTAATTGCAATAGCTTCTTATGTTTTCAGGTAAAAGGGTGGCTTTATGAGATGGGAATAAAATGTGTGTGACAATTAAATGAAATTTCTATAACAGAAATTTATGTTGGATCAACAAAGAGCATGTGCCAAACCCCTCTTGATTTACTCAAATGCCGTATCAGAAACAGGACTCCCAACTGCAGAATGTGTCCTATCCCGAATGACTGCCTTGAAATCACTTATTTTACAGTAATATTAATTCAAATTCTTGATAAATTACTCACTGTAATATAACATGCTGTTTTAAAACTTTTACAGCCTTTTCATTAATAGAATGATAGTGAAGATTAGAGATAGTATTTTTTGTGTAGGCTTCTTAATCATAGCCTTTAAAGTAGAAGCTGAGCAATAAACATCTAATGAATAGCTTATGGCAAGTTTATTCTCAGAAGCTATGTTACTGTGTTGGCACAGATCAACATAACCATTTATCACTAAATTCTCAAAATTTAAAAACTGTAGCTATCACTTATACATGCTAGTCATTCTCAATGTACATTACATATAAATAGTTTATGGCATTTTAGGATACTTGCAACCTAAATAAATATACATTAGTCATAATGAATATGTTCCCCTCTAAGAGAGGATGTATTAGGGAATTAAACCATTCTTTAATATTTTTTAGGTTATAATAATCTTTGCCTTTTAAAAAACATGAGAGGAATCATTGTCATGGGTTATTATTAAAGGAATTCCATAAAGTAGTAGTATTTGAGGGAGTCATCTGCACTATATATCGAGTTGTGTTCTGTAGAGACAGACCACTTGGCTTTCTTCCCAAAGTGAAGTCTTCAAATTAATCTATGGAAATAATGAAAGAAACTATAATACTTTGGTGGTGCCCATAATCATCAGTGTTGTGCAAAGCTGCAAGCTTAACTCTACTGTGCATGTTGTGTGGCTGTGGCACACGTGTGTACTCAACATGGGCTGAATTTACTTCTGTGTACTTACTCATGGCCCTATTTCTTTCTCCATCGATATAGTACTTAGATTTCTACAAAAAAAATAGCAGTGTTATAATCTGATTTGCAGCCATTAATGATAATGGTTTTATACCTACTTTATTTTTAATGAAATGTGCCTATTTATGTAAAACATTAAATATATAATTCACAGGTTCTCCATTAATATACAAATAGCATCTTAATGTGAAATCCAAAGTTCATAGTACTCTGAAAAGTAATGTATTATGTACCCACATCCTCCATTGGGGAGCATGAGTCTTGCCCTTTCAACATCTGGAGAGATCAAACAGCAGCTCATCTGACAAGAATGAGAATTTATGTAGCAGAATGAGCATGGGACCAGGACAAGCAAGATCACAGATGCCCAAATAATTCTCCTCACCAATGAGCTCTCCCTCTGGTCAGATGGCCAGTGTGTTTGAGAGACTGGAGGTCTCAGGATTCTTTTCTTGCATGTCCATGGTGGTTTATTTTTGTTTAGCTGGCTGCATACGTTAAGTGTCAGTTGCAACATTCCCTCTAGAACTTTCTTCTCAGTAATTTTCCACTTACTGGCTGACCTACCTGAATTTATTTGTTAAATTTACTAAATATCTGACTAGCCATAAGCTGCAAAAAAACAACCAGGGAACTGAAATGAAAAGGAAGAAAACACCCTCACTAATTTTCCTTTCTGACAGTTTAACAGACCCAAAAGCATTTACATTACTTTCCCATTTAGGCAGTTAAGCTCTGAGTGGTTCTTAAACACCAGGGACCTCTAGCTAGAGCAGCCACCTTGGTCAGCAATCCAAGATTTAGGCAGATAGTACATTATTTAGGTAGTGGGAATTTTTTTAATATTGTATATGTGATTTAGTATGTTCTGTGCCAGTTTTATTTCAGATTTAATTCTGGGACATGCTGCACTACATAGTCCTCTTGGATTTATGCAACTGTTGCGCTTGGAGCCATGCTCCTGCTGCAGAATTCCAACAGGAGCAAACATATGGGGATTCTTCCGTCCTTGGCTTGCCCCACCATTTGTTCCACATTTTAAACCAACTGGTGCTGTACCCAGTGGAGTACATCTGTTACAGTTTATTACTAGAAATTTGCAATTCATTTCAGTTTGCTAAAATAATTATAATATTCATGGCCAAGGGTATTGCATTAAGCAATTACAAAAGAGAGCAGGCAAAATTTTGCTAAAGTGTATGTGTGATTCAGGACCTACTGCCTGGTTTGGGTGATTTGGGCACTCAACAGCCTATCACCAGTGAGTCAGATGTGCTCTGACAGTTGAGTTTGATCATCTTGAGAAATTAAAGTAGCAACTGAGATGCTGTAAGTGACATCCCTTATGTGAATGTCCCTGCTCTGTTTTAATTAAGAATGAAATAAATTAGCATAAACCACCACTGAATGCATTTGGTTGCCACATCTTGCCTGAGGTACTCAGCTGAGGAACACCCAGAAACAGAGCAGAATCTTTACTGCTGGAATTGCAGAGGCACATCTGATTACACCCTCAAACTCTTCCTGAAAGTCAACAGCATGTAGGCTGCTAAATAGTCTATACCTTTTTGAATGTTGTAACCCACTTTTTTTGTCTCTCTGTGCTTCAGGCAAGCTGGGAGTTACTGTATTGGGCTATGTTGTCATTTGCAGGTAGAATTTTCAAGTAGGCGAGATTTCTGTTTTGTGGGGAAAAATGGATTACTGATCAGTCCAGAGTAAGCATTAAATAGTTGATTAGAAAGTGACCCTTTTGCATTTTTTTTTTAAAAAAAGTCCGCATTAACATCAACACAATAAAATCTTAATACAACAGATTACTTTTTCATCATTATCACCTGCTCAAGCAGACTTTTAAAGTAAGGAAGCATCCTGATGTAATATTCATAACCCCATCATACTCATCGTGTTGATTGTCCATTTCTCTAAGTCAATCTCACACATCTTTGACATGTAGTAACAGAATAAGCACACCCTATTCACCATGGCGGAGTATAGTGCTAAATCAAGTGTTTTTTAAAGGAAAACTTACAAATCCAATTCCAGGAGTTACAACCAACACTATGCCTGTTTTGGTTCTCCATCATAGATCTGAGTCTGGATCTGTCACGCGCTGTTTACACTCGCCTCTTAAATTAAATGAGGTCAGTTTTGCTATGGAAATCTGTCATTTGCCTGATTTGAAAAAGAGCTTGGGTTCCAAAAAGCTGATTTAATTTTTTGAGTTACACAAGTATAATGAAAGACATTATAAATTTCATTCTACCTGTGTCGTCAGACCACCACTGTCACTTAAAAGTACAGCTATATTTGCAATTTTTGTTCATGTCATTGCAAATAAAAGCATTGTAAGAGAAATCATGGAATCATAGAATGGTTTGGGTTGGAAGGGACCTTGAAGATCATCTAGTTCCAACCCCCCTGCCATGGGCAGGGACACCCTCCACTAGACCAGGTTGCCCAAAGCCTCATCCAACCTGGCCTTGAGTTGCCCAAAGCCCCACCCAACCTGGCCTTGGGGGGGGGGGGGGGGGGGGGCATCCACAGCTTCTCTGGGCAACCTGGTCCAGTGCCTCAGCACCCTCACAGTAAATAATTTCTTCCTAATATCTAATCTAAATCGACCTTCCTTCAGCTTAAACCCATTACCCCTTGTCCTGTCAAATGAAGTTAACTTGTCAGCTCACTAGGTATAGAAGCAGGTTCCTGTGAAAGGGAAAGTTGGAATTTACACTGAAATGATGAAACATCCAGAAATAACCCAGATCCTTTAAAATATTTTTGCTTCTTTTGCTTTACAAGTGTTACTTGGAGTGATATAATGAAGCAGAATTATGTGTTTCCTTATGGCATACATAGCAAATATCCAGGAATGGAAACCATTATCATGGCCACTAAATATGATTCTGTTTTCTAGCAGTCCTAGAAATGTCTTTAAATACTCAAAATCTAAGCGGTTTAGACAATACAAATCTAAACATACTCGTATGAAGTAGGGCTATAATATTGAGTACTTGTGGTTTGGTTTTGCATAACACTGTAAATAAGTGTGAGAGGTGTAATTTAAGCAGCTTTGAACTTTTTAAAAAATTTTATCTATATTTTAATATTTTCTGTTCTCTTTCTACAGAACATTCTGACTTTAAATCCCCGAAAACAGACGCATGCAACTCTTCATTCAACTGCAGCAAAGAAACAAGTCAAGAAGCAATGGAAAAGGAATTCTGACAAAAGCTGTCCGGTAAGTGCATGTTTATTATTGCATCTGGAACAGGCAATAAAACATCGAGGCTGAAATCTGTTGTGTGAGACATTCAAATTTGAGTTTCCTGTGTTGTTCAGTAGCCAAATTTCGCTCCTAGTTCTGTTCCTGTAGATACAAAGTTACTTTGTGATCAGCTATTTACTCTTCAGAACTGAGTACATGCCGTACCTTTTTTCTTTTTGGTGATTTAGTAAGCCTTTGATGCAACATTTTCCCCTTTTTTTATGGTGTCCGATCCATCTCAAGTATCAAGTGGTATAACAGCTGGCTTGCCACCTCCCGAGCCTTGCAGAGCCACTGGCTCTCCCTGGGTAGCCGGCATCAGCTGCCTCTTCCGTACCCTGCAGGGCTGCTGCACGCTTGCTCCTTTTCTTTCTGTTTTCCAAGAGTAATGCTGGGTAGAGCAGCACTTTACTATGCTTTCTGAGCCTTTTAAAGGTAATTTTATTTCAGTACAGAAATAGGGGAACCCATCATACGTACCTATTTTATATACATATGTATTTGTATATGGAGCTACCTACATATGTACTATATATACATGACCATACATATATACATTATATAGAAATACATAGAGTGTAGATTAAAACATGGCTCTGGGTTTTAAATTTCACCCATTGTATTTTTCAGGAAATAAGTGGTTTTATGATAAATGATTTTTCATTATAAACTGTTTGTATTCTTCAGTATTTCTACCATTAGATATCATCATTTTCTCTCTAGGTATTTAGATTCCTAGTCTCAGTGTGATATTTGACTAATCCTATCGGACTTCGTTGTCTCTTTGATCTCTCATCTGATTAGAAGGTTTGCAGTGTTTTTACTGTCTTCCTACAGGTTCTCTTAGATAATCCTCTAAATTCAGAAGTCTTTTAGGTAGAGTACTACTTCTTCATCTGCAAACTATTTCCCTTATGGGTACAATGTCATGGTGTCTTTTCATAGTGTTATCAAAACATCTCCCACTAAGTAGGAAAATTCAGGTTTGATAGTTGAGATACGTGTTTATGAAAAAAAAAAACAACCCTCCAACAAAACACAAACTAAACCAAAACCCCCACAAAGTTCCTCAGTTTCTCAAAATTATGAAATCCAGTATGACCAACAAATAGGAGCAGCAACCCCCAGGGTATCCTTAGCATTTCAACCATACTTTATATAGTTTCCTGTTTTATAGCATGATTACAAGAATCTCTCTCTTACTATAGCTAATATTCCTATTTTCTTGTTGGCTTAGATAATGTTTGTGAACAGGGATGATTATTTTGGGATGTCCGATGCAGTTATTGCCCACAATTGTGTCTGCCGCACAGCTAGTTGAGCTGCTCAGCAAGCAGCTGCTGGACAGCTACTGTTCACATTGTTACGTTTTCGGGTGACCTGTAATCAGTACTGGGCTGTAAACTTCTCTGTTTTCAGAAACTGTTTGTTAGGAACTATAGCATACACATATAGATCTTCCTAATGGGTATGTTAACACATATTTTCTAAAGCTTCTAGGCTTTAAGCCCTCTTGGTTACCTCTGAGCTTTCCCCCGTATCAGCCTTGTTTGACTTTTGTATTCAGTTTATTCATGAAATGTTTAATATTTGATGGTTTTGCTGTTAATTGTGAAAATGCTTAGCTGTCTAGAAATTATCTCTTTTCCTATGTTCCTACTCTTAGCTGTGCTTGCGTACCTCATGGTTTCTCAAATGTTCTTAGATCCCCAAGGCCTGAACTTCTTGGGCTGTGCAAACAGCACTGATTTTGGGTTCGTTGCTAGCTTATGTGCCTTGGCTGGATTTTCATTTGAAAGAAATTCTGAATGTTGTCAAATATCACAGGATGATGTTTTGGCACAGGTTTACAATCCAATAAACAACTTGGTTTCATTGTTCTGCATTACTGTATGGAGATTATTATGGAGTGCAGTTATTAAGACCCTAGACTGACAGAGATTTGCTTGTGTGTGGCAACTTACAGGGTTAAAGGTTAGAGATAAGCAAATAGGTGTATATGTATACACCTTCATCACAGATAGTTCTTATACTGTATATTATGAATTATTTGGTAGAAATGTCACATTGTTTAGTTTGCAAGTCATGATAAGAAATGTAAAATGCTTGAAGAAACTGTAAGAGGGGGGGTAGTCCTTATTTTTAGGTGAGTAATGATCCTAGTTTTTAGAACTACCAAACTTTTCTTTACCCAGAAATATGTAGCTTGCTTTTACTCTGCAAGATTTACCACACAACTTACTATTCTGTCATAAAATATCCTATTAAAAAAACCCCATAAATCAAACTTAAACATTTGTCCGGTAACCCATTACATAAAAGGCATTAGAAAAAAGTAAGAGACTTTTTACATTATCCAGATCATTGTTGTTGAGTGGTTTTAATAAACAAAAGAAAATGATAGAATCCTTTCCTAGCCTTCTTATTTTAAGAAAGCTAATGTAGGAAAGGATACATTGAACACAATTTTCTGTTGTAGTCTAAAAGCCATTGGCAGTAATGTTTAGGCCTTCTAATGAACAGGTCAAGCTCTATTTGAAGTCCATAGGAAGTATACTTGTTTGCATTTCCTTAAAATCTGGATTTGGCTTTTAGCTTTGGATTCTTTTAAAGCTGTACTGATGCTGCCTTTGCTGAATTACTGTTGGAGGGAAGGTGGGAATATGAAAATACAAAACTAATTAAATTAACAGCCCTCAAAACTCTGAACAAAAGCTGCATCTGCTGAGGCATGCACGCAGTGACTTTGTAATGTCTAATACACTTCCAGATGGCAGACTTACATATTTCCTCAGGATAATTACACAAGTGAAATTTTAACTCCTAGTCTGCTCTGAGACTCTTTGGGTTGCCCATTAAATGAGTTCTGAAGTGGAAACTGGGCATCAATATCTTTCCTCAACATTGGAAAAGCATTCTCCTCGGAGAGAGAAAGGTTCAATTAAGCTTTCAATGAGTGCTGTTGCTTATTTACTGTGTTAGCAACCAAATTTTGCTGTAAAAATGATTTACAGTTGTAAGTGCACTATCAGTCAGCTTTCCTTCAGAAATTTTAACTCAGAGATTTAGATCTGAGTAGGCAAACTCTTTGTTGCTGAGTCACCCTTGGTAACAGTGCTAAACCTAAGCATTAATGCTCTGGTTTCTTCTGAGTCATGCTGAAAGGTGGTGTAAACAGATGCAACTAGTCTGGGGAAACAGAATTTCCCCTTTTCTGTTGGTCAGAAGAAATTAAAAGTAGAAGAGTTTTGAGATGGCTATACTAATAGTAAACCTTGGAGAAGGAAGCAAAATTTAGATCACATTAGGTCATCAATTTACAGATAAAACTAAAGCAAAGCAATGAACCATGGATGCTGTGAGGACTTGCTTTGATTTCAGTGTTTTCCTAGGTAGTTCAGGATTGTTTAGACAACTGATTTATGTTTTTATTTATGGTTTCCAACTCCCTGTAATTCTGTTTCTGTATGTATTTTCTGCTTGCTGACATTTAAATCGGGAACTAGATGAGCATGCATTGTGTGTGTTTGCATTACACCCAGCACACTGAATTCTTGCTTTATGAATAGGGTTTCTAAGCATTATAGGACAAGTTCTGCTTTTACCTTTTACACATGTGGGTTTGTTGTTTTAATGAAATTCACCTCCACATTTTTTTTAAATTCACTTGTCACTGGATAATTCAGTGGGATTTTGTAGTCCAGCCTTTTTTTGTAATGAAACCTTGGAGGTACCTACTAAGGATAGGTGAGAAGATGTTATAAACCCACCTATGTATTCAGACTTTCTTCAGTTTCTGCATTTAGAAATAATAGTAATAATTGCTCCAGATGGAAGAGTTGGAAGTATTTCAATTAGACAAGAAAAGTGAAAAGGAAATGGGGTTTAAATTGGTTTGTAGTTAATTGCCATAGTCTAACAGTATTGATTTTTCTGGCAGTAGTAGCATTGTTCTTGGTCCTTAAGTTTGCTAAGCATGGTCAGCATTGTGCAACAAGAGCCTCTCTTACTTGAACAAAATCATTTTTAAGTTCAGCTATTTTTTGCAGGGGCATCGCTTTTGGGCAGGAGTCTTTAACTGTTCTATAGATCTTTCCAGTCATTAGAGAGAACCAAATTCTTCACCTTTTCTGTGCAACATTAAGGTGCAACTACCAGATTGCTCTGTGCTAATGGTGGGGAGCCAGATCTGCAATTCATTGCAAGATGTAACAGATCACGTTGCTCTTTAGATTCAGAGGACAAGGTTGCTCCCTTAAAACAGCAGAATTTACTAAAACTTCGAACTGCTTTTTACTTTGATAGTATTTCTGTTGCTGTTACTGCTACATATGAGCATCTGTAAAAAGGAATTCTTATTTTTAAAAAAAGGGTTTGTAAGGACCTCTTAGTGTACAAATGTCCAAGCTTGCATAGAATAACCTGTATATAAGATGATTCTTTCTCAGCTACAATCAGTTTGTTACTCTAAGTATTGCCTTCCAGTGAGATGGAAAAATCCTGCATGATTTCTGTGCCCAATCACATATCACAGTTACAAGGTAATCAAGTTAAAAGTTCACAAGTGATGAAATAGTGCAAACTGCAAACAAGTAGATATGAAACCCAGTTCACCCAAGGCCTGAAACCAGGAACCTTAATGAACATGTTTTTTTTCAGTGAATAATTTGGCCATTTCTAGGCATGTATTGATGAAAGATTTTATATTTATAAATAAAAAATAATCCCAAATATTGTAAAATAGAGAACACTCATTAAAGGAAATCAACTCAATTATCTTTATAATCTAAACGTATAGTTTACCTTTGCAAATATTTATTTTTGTCTTCATTGCATATGAATATGCAAGTTTAGCTCTTTTCTGAATGAATATACAATGGCAGATGTCTCTCTAATCGCTGCTCTATTCAAACATTAATTGGTAGAACATATGTAGAATTCTACTAGTCTGAATAGGTATAGGATAGCAGCAG